TCTTTAAAAGAAATATTCACCATATGGATGTTGATGAATATGTAGTAGTACCAAATTAATTGAGAGCTCTGGAAGAGCCAATTATTACTATTTTGGAGGAATAAAATTGATTATCAATAATGCATTGTATTGTAGTAAGTCTCAGAGAAACTTAATTGAGTTTCTAAAGTATTCGCGAAAGCGGTTGGTTATATTGAGACTATAAATAAAGGAAAGATTTAATATCTTCTATTACTACAACTTGTAGCAGGGTAATATATATGTGAAAAGTTATCCGCTTTATTCTTCAGTTTGTATTGCACAAATAAAAGAATACTACAATAAAGTAGATGTTTATTGATATAAAAACATATATCATAATAAACTTAGAGTTTATTGATAATTGCACGCGTCATGGTGTACACCTGAAGTTTATCATTATTGATAATTTCTCCAATTGGCATAATTGGTTTATCCATTAATTCAAGGATGATGTGCAAAAATAAAAGAGAATTCACATGGGTAAATATTAAAGAACTAGAATTTTCTTTACGAATTCTCTTATGTTGCTTGTTCTCATTAATTATGAAAGTACAAGAGGAGGGTGAATTGTATAATTTTTAAACTTAATCTCTATTAGTTGACTGGTGTGACGACCCGTCCAGTTGTCTCATGGGTTACCGCTCTGTTTTCCCTATTTCTGCTTCTTTATGCTTTGTTATCCGTGTTTTGTGGTATTGGGTTGGTCGGATCGAATCCAGAATAATTTTGGTAAGGTTTGAGACACTCAGTTTTAATACTTAAATGATATTTTTAAATGATGTTTTGGGCTGAGAAACACTGTTTTACTATTGCCTGAGTGGCTTGTGAGGATTTCTGATTGAGTGAAGCCGAGGGCCTATGTTGTGAGGAAAAATTTGATACTGATTATGAGGCCGAAGACCTGAGATATGTACGCTACGAGGTGGCTTGATTGATATGAGGCCGAGGGCCTAGTGATGATGTCACGAGGTGGCTTGATATTGCGCTTGGGCCATAAGGGGACCCTTTAGGAGTCTGTACACCCCCCAGTGAGTGTGGGTACCCATTGTAATGTGAGATAGAGCCCGAGGGGCTAGTATTGTTCTGAGATATTGCCCGAGGGGAGAATTTATTGATACTGTGCCCGAGGGGCGAATTTCTATTTGTTATTTTACCTTAACTGCCTTTCAATTACTATTTACTTGTTGAAAAAGGATTGTTACTTAACTTTTCACTGGTTTACTGCTTTTAAATGGTTTTACTACTTCATTATAGAATGTCTTGCGCCTTACGTGTTTTCTTACTTTCAGTCGTTATTTATATTTGTTACTCACTGAGTTGGAGTACTCACTTTACTACTCCCTGTACCCTGTGTGCAAATTCAGGTGTAGCCGGTTCCACTCCCGAGTGCTGATCCCTCTAGCTTTAGGGGGACATTCGGAGTTCACGAGGTAGTTGTTGGCGTCCGCAGCCCGTGTCTCTAATCCTTTATCACTTCTATCTCTTTTCAGATAGTTGTACTAGTTTATTGACTTAGCGAATTTGTATTATGACTTATAGATGCTCATGACTAGTGGCACCCCGGTTAAGGCTGTGTATGGGTATTTTTCCGCGTATTTATGTTATAATTGTTATTTCGAATTATTTTATCATATTTAGACCATTTCCTAAATGCTTAAATGTTAATAATTGTAAAATGGGAAGTGTCAGCTGGCTTTGTCATCACGAGAGGTGCCATCACGATCGGGTCCGGGTTAGGGTCGTGACAACTGGTTTTTCAATTAATCGACTAGATGTAATAAACTAACAGTTGTAATAGCAGAATATAAGATGCTGAAAGTAAATGCAGGAAATAAAGACACCAGAATTTTTATACTGGTTCGGGTTCAATGTGAATCATAGTCCAGTCCCCTTAGGTTGCAAGGGAGTTCACTTTAGTGAATGCGTTTCTTCGAGTATAATGGAAATGACATGATCGCTCAGTTCCTATATCACTCGTCTCTTTTGATACAATGTCTCACCGGTGTTTTTCTCTCTTTCTTCTCTAACTTGTTACACAACAGATCTTAGAGAGCTACAATGTTTGTTTGCAGTATAACAAAGAGAGGGTGTTTGGTTTGATTAAAGTATATCTAGCTAAGGTGTGATTACAGGTCTAAATACTTTGAGAGAGAGGCTTGAATTCTGGAAAGATTTGCCAGCCCAAGAGATTTGATCCTTGGAAAGAGATTGATTCTTTCCAAGAATAAAGTTGTTCTTCAACGGCTCTGTTGAACTCGGAATCTTGATCTTCTATATTTAGACACTTGATGAATATTCAGTAAGATCTGGATTTGTCTGATTCCTTGCGTTTAGCTATGATTGATTCCATCTGTATCTTCTGTGATTTCGTCTTCCTTTAATCGCGTCCCTTGATTTCGTCAGTATCTTCAGGATTGATTGCGTCTTCCTTTAATCGCGCCTATATTCTGTCAATCTTGTAACTCAATCCATACGTTTCCATACGTTCCTTTATCAATGATTTCGCCAATCCAAGAGTTCCTACACAAAAAGCAAATATATTATTTTCATCATTAAAATTAGATCTAACAATCTCTCCCTTTTTGATGATGACAAAATAATATATGCATAAACACCAGTTGACTTCCCTGTAGTTCACTCCCCCTCAATAGGAGCAGCAAGTAATTTGAGGTGCATGTAGTCGACTGCATCAGTTGACTTCTCTGTAGTTTTACTCCCCCTCGATAGGAGTACACATGTAGTCGACTTCCTCAGGATCTATGACTCCCCCTCAAGGAGTGCCATAGTTGACTTGTTATGTACCTGCATACAAAACATAGATGTACTTGCACATAATACATATATCCTTTCTACCCCTTTTTGGCATCAGCAAAGAGGGAATAACACGACATCATGCATAAACAGAAACCATAGCAGAATGTACTGGTAGAGTTAGACCATAACAAAAGAAAAAAAAAGGAAAATATCCACAGACTGATATCTCAGTCCAAAAACAGCACATCAAAAAATATTGTCTTAAACTTCCATACTAACGACGCAGAAAATAGGTAAGAGTGTTGCAGGCGGCCTCCTTTAGTCGATCAAAGCTGGCGTTGGCTGAGACACTTATTCCATCAAGCCTGTCATGAACCTCCTTGAAAGCCTTGATGGTGTTTTCCCTAACTCTGAGAACTACAACCCAAATTTTGGAGACATCAGACCCTGTTTCCTTGGAGATAGAATGAATGGTACCAACAGTGGACTGGGTGGCAATGAGGAGATCCTTGATTGCAGATAGCCCTTTCCCAATGGCGCTAATTTTCTCAGACAGGTCAGATCCACTAAGGCTAGAATGAGAAGCAGAAAGTTTGGGCTTGGAGTCTGTATGGGCAGTCTTGACATTACTCTCATGTTTCATGACCCATGAACCCTTCACACACACATACCTCATACTTGCAAAGGCCCTGGAGTTGTATGATTTTGAAACAGTAGTGAAGGAGTATGCAGAGAGGGAAATGTTGCGGGCTTCCAGAATGTGGGTGATGGTCATTCCATAGGGTAGACTAGTGGTATCTTTGGCACTTTCAATCATGAAATTTATCACCCAGGAGGACAGCTTGATTTTGAGTTTGGTCACAAGATAGTACACCAGAAAAGTATCTCACAGAGAGAAGGTTGAGAAAGATCCAGTGCGGGAAGCAGAGTAGTTGCCACAATGTGAGCTAGAACACGAGTTTCAAAACTAACATCACTAGGACCAAGTGGTTTGGAAGGGATTCAGATGGGCACTCAGCAATACATCTTTTGGATTGATCAAAAGAAATTTCAAAATCATCGGGCCAGGAAATTTTAAAGAGCATAGGGAAATCAGAACACTTACACTGAAAGATCGAATCAAACAAGAAACAGTCAAGAACAATACACTTTCCTAGAACTAAGGATTCCAACTTATCAGACCTACTGGAATGAAGATTTGCATCGAACATTCTCACGAGAGGTTCATAGACTTTAGGAGGAGGAACAGAAAAGAACTTGGACCACCCTTGATAAACAAAAAGGTCCTTGACCTTACAATTTAGGGCTTCTATGTTATCAAGGTCGACTACCCTCCCATGAGCGATAGGCTTGTCTGATAGGGCAAAAAAGAGGTCCATGTTAGGAGAATCCCAGAAATTAAGTTCCGAATCAAGGGAACTGGAGAGGTCAACTTTTGATTTCTTTGGAGTGGTGGAGACAAGGGTTCTTACATGGGTCTTTTACCCAGGGCTTTTTCTCGTAAGGGTTGAGAATGATCAGAGAAATCCGCCTGAGAGGAGGCAAACCCCTCAGAGTGATCGGACCCTAGGTCTACCTGTTCAGGGGGTTTTGCCTTGGAGCGGGTGCTATTTCTAGTGGAGGCAGAACGGATTTTGGATTGTTTAGCCATGGTAGGAGGTTGGTGGTGAAGTAAGATTTTGAAGAAGGGGTATGAGGGTGATAGAGACAATGGAGATTGATATGAGAAGACAACATAAAAAGGGTTTTCTAACAGTTGAGTACAGAAAGGAAAAGGCATCAGTTGATCAGACGCGATGATTGGTTTTCCTTTTTTGAGTTCTGTGACTGATGTGAAAAGAGAAGAATAAGGAGGGAAAACGGAGGCGTAATTAATGCGTAAACAAAAAATGTTGACTATTCTATATATAAGATTAAATAATGACACAAAGGTCCTACTATTAGCTATTTATGCAAATAATACCAAGAAGTTTTCTAAGTGAATAGAATCTTTCTTCTAGTAATGGCTTGGTAAAGATGTCCGCTAGTTGATCAGCTGTTTCTACAAAGGATATTTCTATATTTTCCTTAATAACATGATCTCTAATGAAGTGATGCTTGATATCTATATGCTTTGCCCTAGAATGATGAACATGATTTTTTGAAAGGCAAATAGCACTTGAATTATCACAAAAAAATTGTATAGGTTTAAAAGAAAGTTCATAGTCGCTGAGTTGATGGGACATCTACAGTAATTGTGCACAGCATTGTCCAATAGCAATGTATTCAGCTTCAGTGGTAGATAATGCAACTGATGTTTGTTTTTTACTGTTCCAGGATATCAATGCCTTTCCAAGTAATTGACATGTACCACTTGTGCTCTTTCTATCTTCCTTATCACCTGCAAGGTCAGCATCCAAAAAACCTTCTAATTTAAAAGAGTTAGAGCGAGGATACCATAGTTCATGGGAGACAGTCCCAATGAGATATCGAATGATTCTCTTTACTACAGTCAGATAAGATTCCTTAGGAGCTGATTGAAACCTGGCATATTTACACACACTGAACATAATATCCAGTCAACTTGTAGTCAGATACAGTAATGAGCCAATCATTTCACGATACTTAGTTTCATCAACAGGGATTCCCTGTTCATCTTTGTCTAGACTCGTTGAAGGACTCATTGGTGTACCATTGGATTTTGCATTGCTCATCCTAAATTTTTGAATCAATTCCTTTGTGTATTTGGTCTGACATATAAAGGTTCCTTCTTCATATCAAAAGGGATGATCGTACAAGAGTTTCTATCCCCAATTATGTTGTCGTAAGTAGAATCATGAGACCATGAAATCGTAACGTATGTACTACGAATTAGACAAACGCATAAACCTTCCGATTGTGATATCTGATTCTTTGTCGACTTTTGGTTCCATAAAAAAAGCCGCACCGCAATACAGTTAGCTTCTTCTCTCTTTCTCTGAATTGAAATCTTTTCTTTTGCTTGCAGTCCCCAAATATCAGAATGTAGGGTTAACTCCTCGTTAGGAAATAGTTATGAACTTAAGTCCATTAATCCGACACCTACTCAAATTGAGTATCTACTCGTATTTTACTTTTCGCACCCAACGTGATGCTCATAGAAATTATGCTTACGGTCGCCGAAAAGGTATCCCTTATCAGTGTTCCAACTTCGAGGGTCAAACGTTTTCATTAACCTTTTAAATATTTTAATTAATCACTCCCTAGCTCCGTTATGTTCTAGTTTATGTGCAGTTAGCTTCTTCTCTCTTTCTCTCCATTGAAAATTTCTCTTGTTTACCGTCGCCGAAAACAAGAAAGCAAAGTTAACAATTAATATACTTATATAGCTTAAAGTCGACGTTTTCGGTATAGTAGCGTACTTTTTTTCTTTTCACGCCCGAGGTGTAGGGAAAAAATCAGAAATAGCTAGATTTACAACAGGTAATTGAAAAATAGCCACAGTTTCAAAAGTAATTGAAATTTAGCCATTTTTTTATGTAAAGATATTAGTTTGCTTGTCATTGGCCCTTTCCTTTATCTTTCCTCAGCTGAGGGTCTACCGGAAAAAGCCTCTCTGACTTTTCAGAAGGTAGGGATAAGCTCTGCGTATACACTACATTCCCCAGACCCCACTTGTGGGAATACACTGAGTTTGTTATTGTTGTTGTCATGTAAAGATATAATATGACAGGAAAAATTCCAGCATAATATGTTGTAATTAGAATTTTTTATATATGATATTCCAGTTTAATATGCTAGAATTTCATAATGTATTTGAGTTCCAACATAATATGCAGGAAGTTGAAATGGGGGAGCTCCATAATTCAGCATATTATGCATTTTTCGTGTTTCAGCAGAACAATGGCTATTTTTCAATAACTATGCAAATGTTGTCTATAATTTGATTACCAATCCAAAAATTGACTAGGCAGTGCTATTTTCATGAGGTCGAGGTGATTCCAATTCTGTGGTGTAAGTGCATTAATAGCCTCTTTTGTTGTTGTTTAAAATATAATCAACATAAAATATTTCAAATATAGCGACAGACTATAAAGTCCCAAATTTTGGCGGACTTCGTGGCCGACTTTACGCCTGCCCTCGTGCCCGAGGTAGAGAAAGAACTCTTGCTAAAAACAGGCACATCATCAGGGGTATGGACCTTATTCACCGACGGTGCCTCAAACATGAAAGGGCCCGGGCTCGACATCTTTCTGAAACCGCCTACGGCGCGGCATGATTAGGCAATCTATAAAAACTTTGAAATTTACTAACAACGAGGCCGAGTATGAGGCTATGATTGCAGGTCTCGAGCTGGCCAAGAGCCTAGGAGCAGAATTCATCGAAGCAAAATGCAACTCCCTTCTGGTAGTCAACCAAGTAAATAGGAGCTTCGAGGTTCGAGAAGACAGGATGAAAAGATACTTAGACAAACTTCAGGTCATATTGCATTGCTTCAAAGAATGGACTCTGGTCTACATTCCTCGAGATCAGAACAGTGAGGCTGATGTACTTGCGAACCTGGGGTCGTCCGTCGAAGAAGATGACATAGGGGGCTGTTGCACAGTTATCCAAGCAGGTGATTAAAGAAGGCCACGCTGAGATCAACTCAACAAGTCTAACATGGGATTGGAGGAATAAATACATCGACTATTTTGAGAAACGGGAAGCTGCCCACAGACCCAAAAGAATCGAGGGACCTTCGAGCCAAAACAGCTCGATTTTCACTCGACGAGAATGGAACACTATATAGAAGGACCTTCGACGGACCTCTAGTAGTATGCTTGGGACCGGGGGACACCGATTATGTACTTTGAGAAATCCACGAGGGCACTTGTGGAAATCATTCTGGCGCCGATTCTTTGGTTCGAAAGGTGATTAGAGCAGGCTACTATTAGGACAGCATGGAGAAGGACACCAAAGAATTCGTTCGAAAGTGTGACAAATGCCAAAGGTTTGTGCCAATGATTCACTAACCCGGTGAACATCTACATTCAGTCTTATCACCATGGACGTTCATGAAATGGGGGATGGACATCTTCGTCCCCCTACCAACGGCGCCAGATAAAGCTAGATTTATTCTGTTTATGACTGACTATTTCTCGAAATGGGTGAAAGCATAGGCCTTCGAGAAGATAAGAGAAAAAGAAGTCATTGACTTCATCTGGAACCACATCATATGCCGATTCGGGATCCCCTCCAAGATTACATGTGATAATGGGAAGCAGTTCATAAACTTGAAAAAGAGGTTAGAAAATGCGAAGAGAAAATGGAGAGAGGTATTGCTCGAAGTACTATGGGCATACCGAACAACTTCGAAGTCAAGCACAGGAGAGACATTGTTCTCTTTGGTATACGGGTTCGAGGCTTTGATACTGGTCGTGGTCGGAGAGCCAAGCGCCAGATTTCAACATGCCACCGAGGACTTGAACAGCGAGGCCATGACTACAACCCTCAAGCTACTAGATGAAAAGCGAGAGGTTGCACTAGTCCGAATGGCCGCCCAAAAACAGAGGATTGAGAGATATTATAACAGGAGAACAAACCTCCGATACTTTGGAGTCGGGGACTTAGTCCTAAGGAAAGTCACCCTCAACATTCGAAACCCAAATGAAGAGAAGTTAGGCCCGAGCTGGGAAGGACCGTACCGCATCCTCGGAGTAGTAGGCAAAGGGTCCTACAAACTTGGCACCATGGAAGGCGAGCAACTTCCAAGCAATTGGAACATATCGATGCTCAAACGTTATTATTGCTAAGGTATAACCTTTTCCCTTTTCGCTTTATGTCTCATACTAATTTCTTACAGGTGTTCGATGGGAGATGTTGAAGCACCCTTCAACTCGGAGACCTTGGGTATTAAAGCATGTGTTGCACTTTTTTCCCTTCGATCGGGTTTTATCCCAAATGGGTTTTACTGGCAAGGTTTTTAACGAAGCAACATCTATATGCTACCTAAGGAGAACTCAACAAGTATTCAAGGCTTCTTCTCAATTAGCCACGAATACTGGGGGGACATCCCCCTCGGAGGTTATCTTTTTGAAAAAATCGAGTTACGCCTAAGGGGACCTCGATAGGAAAATATTGTATTGGTCCAAACGGTCGAATGAACCATGTCCATGTAGAACAATCGAGCCTATGAAGGCAAGAACATGTACACATATATCAAGTAATCAAAGAAGCCTTTCTGCTTGTCAAAACGTTGTGTGCCTCAAATAAGTTTACTACTTTCACGCAAAATAGCTCAAGGGCCAAAAATCCTCGAACACTCGGGGACTGTCATCGACAGTCAGCTTATCGAAGCCATCAAAAACTCAATTTCGTAAGACCTCAATAAGGCAACTTCGAGCTCGTAAGACCTCAGTGAGGCAACATCAAATCTGTAAGACCTCAACGAGGCATGCCTAAACTTATAAGACCTCAATAAGGCAATACCGAGCTTATAAGACCTCAACGAGGCGTACTCAAATTTATATGACCTTAAAAAGGCATAACCCTAATATTAAGGCCAATTCTATATATTCGAACTTGTAAGACCCCTAAAAAGGCATACCCTCGATATAGACGCCAAGGTCACCGCACCCGGGGACTAAAGGCTACAACCAAACATAAAGACTACGGTCGAACTAAAAGGCTACGGCCGAATTAACGCGGCTCGAAGACGTCCGACTGCCGCCATAAAACTAAAGGCCTTCAAATACTTTGCAAATACTTCAAAAAGAACTGGTTAATCAGACTACCCTCGGCATAAGCAAAGGAGTTTCGATAATATCAACTCCTAACAATAAAAGGCTTCAAAAACAATCAGCCTTCGAGCGAACCTCCCGAGGTACTCAACTATCGTCACATATCGACTCATAATCGAGGTTCTCGTTTGAGCCGTCAAAGATTCGGACAAGCATAAAACATGTCAAGGCATAATCAAAACTTCAAAAGTCTTTAGCCAAAATGAGGGAAACTATAGCCATATTAGAGGTCGCATCGACCCAATCTAAAAAAAGCCTAAGGGCTGTCGCGCCCCCTTTTTACCCTCCGCGAAAAGAAGGTTCGGGTTTCGACATTATATGGGGGTGATAACTCATTTCCTTTTGGGAATTGGGTATTTGAAGAGTCGCCACCTAACGGATTATGGTATATTAGGGCACCCAGAGCGGTTAACTCTTGGATTGGTTTGTATTACCAGAGATTTAGGGTAAGGGCTCGAAATAACCTTGAGAGAAAGGTGTTAGGCACCCCTCTCAGTCCACAATGGTGGGTCCCAACAGAACTCATACTTATGAATTAGTCCTTTAATAAATAAGTAGTTGAAATAAATAATTGCAAATAAAGCATGTTGGACATTGTATGACTCAGATAATAAGACAAGGGATTTGAACAAGTTGTATATACAAAAAGAAAGTTTTAAGCAAAAGGAGTTTGGGAAATGAGGGGTCCTAGGTTGGTTAGCCTACAATATCATCCCACATGATGCCCGGTAAACACTCCTCAATGAGGGGCTACACGTGACATTAGCGCGTAGTCATCATATCCCGTTCTACCCAAGTCCCTTCCCTTGGTCATAGCCTAAAGCATTCTAGTGACTTTGACAATGTCCTATGCATGCACTACCCGTCCCTTCCTTGTGGCCCTGGAGGTATTTTAGGACCTCTAAATCTGGGCAGTTCTAGAC